CACTACACCTCCAGGACTCTCTTTCTTATTGTACAATTATGAAAAAGTGGGAGCTACAATTCTGCCTAATATAGGCACTTATGTAAACTTCATGGATTTAATGTTTAGAAGCATAGAAGCAGTATATAACAAGGTTCTGAAACTTTTGTGTTATGGAACCCTTTGGCCATCTGGTATCACCTCTGGGCCACTTCTCAGAAGAATGTTTTTAAATCCATCAAATGAAATACATAGAATACAAAGGAAACAAATTACATTGAAATATAGCTAAGAAAACCAAATTCACAGAGCCTAGGTTCAGAAACTCTGATGTAGAATAGTCAAATCTTAGAACTCACCATCAAAGATCATAAAATACACCTGTCTCTTAAGATATGAGTAAGCTGAAACTGCCTAAGGTAAAGTAACTTACTCAGGGGTCACAAAGTTAGTTAGTGGAAGGGTTGGGGCAAGAACTCAAGTCTAACTTCTGGCCCAGTGATCTTTCCACTTCACCATTAACACTTAAGTCCATCCTAAAGGAAAGTGAGTTTGGGCACTAACTCAGACCTTACATGACTTAATTAAAGATGCCTTCAAAGAACAAACAAGTTAATGGCCCCAAGGCCTCCAGGGGAAGTATCCCAGAGATGGGAAACCTTTAGCTGCTGGATATGCTGGATCAATGTTCAGAGCTGTTTGTCCACAGAGCACACTGAAACAATTACTACCCCTCTCCAGCTGATTGCATCTGTGTATTCTGTTACAAATCAATAAGATGATTCACTGCAAATGTCATGGTGCTCCCTGTGCTCAGTAAGTAGGTCAGAATACAAAGGAAACTGTGAAGTGCACATTTCACAGCCTTGAACTAGCTTCAAGTAAATACATTAATTTCACCAAGTTTCCACGAGATTTCAAAGCCATTAGTAGAATCCCCCACCAAAAGGATGGGTAAGAATTAATCAATCAATCAATCAATCAATCAACTGTGTGCCAGACACTATGTTAAGATGTGGGAAGATAAAATAAGAAGACAAAAAGCCAAAGAAGTTCTCAAAATGAATGGTCTGGTCTGTGAAAAAAAAAGATTCAATTGACAAATACGATCTATTGGGTAAAATGAAATCCTACAAGTGTCTTGTGGAGGATTAGTTTATTGAGTTGCAGGTTTCCTCACTTTCTTTAGTCACTTCCAACAAGTTCAGATAGGTCACTTCCAAGGTAAGTAATCTTCGTAAAATGCATACAAATGACTCATCCAGAGTTCATGGCAAGAGAATTTATCTTTCCCTTCATTTTTGGAATATGTTTAGTTATAAAAATACAAATGGTAAATAGGGATCACACTGATCCCTCCTGAGAATATCCAGTTCTCTAATATTTTTTTTCCTTATCCCAAGCAAAACAGACGTAACAGGACCATTAGGCCAAGCACCTATTCTTTCTGCAAGCAGATTTTCCGAATCCTTTCTTATCCATGATGTCCTACATTACTATACCTGGGCATTTGTGTTCCTCATTCATCATATATTCCTTTATGGCTGTCCCTGTCCATTTAGATAGCAAGATGCTCTATGTATCCACCTGCTCATGTACATAGAAATTCACTCAAATTTAAAACACTCAGGTGTTCCCATGGTGGCCACTTGCCTATGCATTTTATCTGCCTAGAGTGTCAAGTCTGGAAGAGATCTCAGTAAATGCCTTTTGAACTCTCTCGCAGTACTACTGTACTCTGCCTTGATCAGGCCATAGCTAGAATACCATGATCATTTCTGGGTGTTGTATTTTAGGATGGATACTTATGCCAGTATGAGAGGCAAGATCAGCATTAGAAAAGATTGGCAAGGAATTAAGTCTTTGGGAGTAAGGTCATCTTCCATGAGGACCTTGGTGACAACAGTATAAGGGTTTCTGAGAGCTAAGCAGAAGTGGAGGGGAGAATGAGAATGAGGTGGGGGAGAGGTAGGCATGAGCTAAAAGGTAACGGTGGAAAGGGTTTTTTCCTGGGTTTTTTGTTATTTTATCTCAGCAGTTGGTGACTGAATCACAGGGGATTAGGGGAGCAGGAGATAGGAATTTGCTAGCCATAGGAATTGGCTGGCCATATCAAGTATGACGAAGCTTACAGACCAAAGTAGTCCGACCTAGAGAATTTTCCACATAACAGTTAGCAGCTTCTGCATCTGAATTTGGTAACTGTTAATTAGTTCTCAAAGAAAACACAAATTATCACCTGAAAAATCATTCAAACTTTCTAGTAAATAAAGAAGTACAAATTTAAACAACTCTGAGATACCACTCCAAAATTAGCAGGGATAACTTAAAATGGTAAAAATTCAATGTGAGAGGGGCAGGTGTAAAAATAAACATGCTATTACACTTCTGTAGGAGCACTGAATTGGTGCAATTTTTTTGTAAATCAATATGAATTATAAAATGAGATCTAGAAAGCCTTTTCTACCCTTTGGGTCAGTGAACCAAATACTAAAGTGCTACTGATAGGAAAAAAGACTCATCTGAACAAAAATGTTCACAGCATATGAGGCACTTAATAAATACTGATTGATTTTTTTTTTATCGTAGCAAAAACAACCCCATGAAAATATTATATACTAGAGTCATAACTAGTTTGAGGTGATTAGGACTTTTTCTCTAGGTGCTGACAGTCAAGAAGGCATACTACCTCCTCAAGGGGATATGGCTGCCCCCCTAGAGGGCAAACTACTTCACTACAACAACTCTCATCCCCATGCCACGTGGTCCCCTGCTATGCCATACTACCTTGAGGCTCAACTGCCATCCCTGGGTTCCTGTTGCCATGACACCTCACTGAAGTGTGACCTTCCAACCAACCTAGAGGAAGGGCCAAATCATTCTTTTTCCTTTTATGATAGCACCTGCAGAAGAACTATCTCCTGCACTGATTGCTTCTCTCTGTGGTCTGAACCACCAACGGTTTTGCCTGAAGTGAAAAATTTTCTTGTAATGTCTCTGTGTCTAGCAACTGAAGATAGATTACGCAAACTGTGAGATTTTAATGAAATGGAATATTATTTTACCATAAAGCATGACAAACATGAAGGCTACGAATATGAATACGGGGAGTCATATACAATGATGCAGAAGGAATAAAGCAGAACCAAAAGAATGTACATCATCTACAACTGTATAAATAATAACAATGATAAAATCTGGATAAATGCACAGAAAAAATCCCTAAGTGAGCATGGAAATAAATAGGACTATGTACCTACAACCATAATAAAGGTAATATCTATTCTTTTTGCAAAACCAACTATAAATAACTAGAATTAATTTTTATATATAATCAGTTATATTTTTTGTTTATATATTTAAACTTATATTTGTCAGTGGATATTAAGTTCATAAAAATTATTTTTAATAAAAAATCAGCCCTAGCAATATCCCATTGGCAGATTCTCTATATAATATATTAATAATATAAGTGCTTAGCACCCTTAGAGATGACTTCTGGACTCCTATCCAAGCTAATATTGAGATGGAGCTATAATGACATACACCTTTTAAAAGTCTTGTCTTGTTTTTATAGTAAATGTTTGTTTCATGTATTTTCATATGGAAAAGATCAATAAGATGCTAGTTTATTAATTGGCCTTTCCTACTACTATATCAAAACATTTGTCTACCAGGCATGAGAAAATACAAAATGATAGATTTCACTTTATGTTTGGACCATTAAGAAGAGTTGAGCCCACAAACTTCATGTGATGGTTCCCGATTTATTTAATGAAAAGAGATTCTCCAAAAAATGAGTCTTCCCCTATTCTCCATATTCCTCAACGGCAGAAAGGAATCTAGGATTAGAGATGTACAAGATTTTCTGGAATAGTCCCAATTTCAACAAAAGAAAGTATACTTTTAATGATGCTTTGCAAAAGGAATATCTGGCAGAACTTGAATTCTGATTTGGGATTCAGAAAATATGTTTATTGTGCCCATAGGTGATGTTTCCTATTATCAGTTAAGCAATTGCTGCTGCTCTGACATAAAATTATATCTAAAGCATATATATCAGAGCCCTGGGCAAACATCTTAACCTCAGGATCCATGCAAAGAGATCATTACGTTCCCTAATCTTTCCCTGACCTCTCCTGACTCTTAATGTGCATGGGATACCCTTCATGTGACTCACTTTGTCTACATCTCTAAAATCCATTTCTTCCTTTAAAGTCCAACTTGGGCACCACCTATTTCTCTAGAGCTTCCCTGATCCCCCAGGTTGAAAGTGATAACCCCCACCACCCCAAATTTCTTATAAAACTTCTCCTAGAGCTCTCTTTTCCCCTGACCCACATTCTGTCATATTTACTTGTGCACATGGCTGTCCCCTATTAGTTAGAGAGTAAGAACTGTGTTGTTTTCCATCTATTGTTTCCCAGAATTGTATGAATATACCTATATGTACATCCTGTGTACATATGTATGTGGGGATAGGAAACATGGGGTAAGTGGAAAGAGAACTCAGAATCAGGGGGTAACAGTCTTCCTACCTCTGAGATATATTGGCTGTGTCACCCTTAGCAAGTTATCTAACATCTCTGCCGCCAGGAACTCTGAGGCTGAGTCATACAAAAGGATCTCTGTTGGTAGAGGGTGTTTCCTCCCCACGCTGAGGAACTCGAAGGTACAATCTCCCCCATTCCCCTCCATATACGCCCCCACATCCACACATACCCACAATCCCCTCCCCTGCATACATACCTACATGCACACACTCCTCTCCCCTCACTACATCTCTACACATACCCTCTCATCTCACACATACCTACACACACACACACACACACACACACACACACACACTTTAAGTACTTGGTATTTACTTACTTGTATATTTGATCTATCATCTTGCCCTCTCCCCCAAACCTCACTCCAGAATGTGAGTTCCTCAAGGGCAGGAACTGTCTCATTTTTATCTTTGTATACCAAGAATTAAGTACATCATTCTGTTATTAAGCACAATAGCTATTTAATAAAAATTATGTTTAATAAAACTTCATACTAGGAATAATCATACAGGTAACTCATAGAGTTATTGTAGGCTTATGGAGCAGAGACTGCATTTCATAGAGCACGCACCAGCTCTCCTCTGGTGACTCCTAGGAACATTTCTGGCTCAGCATTGAGGGGGCTTGGTGCTTTGAGATGATGAAACAATCCCTTTATTAGCTCCCTAGTAAGAAGAGACTCGTTCACCACTCAAAAGAAATGCATCGGGTCTATCTCTCTTCCCGACTGCCAACTCTTGGAGCCTTCCCATAAGGAGTGAGGGAGCCCTAGCTTGCTTGCCCTTCTCCCCACTCTAAAAGAAATGTTCTCATGTGGGTAGCTACAGCAGGGGCTCAATTAGGTGAGCTAAGCCTGGGTCTTAGGCCTCTGGCTGTCTTTTTGGCTTTACGTTTCCTGACCTGAGTAGAGGCAAGACCGAACAGGGATCCTGAGATGAATGTGTCCAGCTAAGGAGACAGCCTTGTGAGTCCCAGGGGTTGAAAGTGCCTGGCTCTCTGAGTCAGTGCTGAGTGGCAACAGGTAAGTGTCAAAGAAGATGATCACCAGCAGGAGGAGGAGCCCAGCCTCTGGTCTGATTGACTGAAGATAGAGATTGACCTTGAAGGAAACAATGCAGAGGTGAGTCAGAGATGAATTACTGATCCAGCCTTTCCACAAACTGTTTCATGTTTGATGTTTTAAGTATCAACCTCCTGGGAGAGTGCAACAGTAGTCATAAGATTTTTTTTTCCTGCTATTTATTTTTCAGTACATACAAGTGAATCTCTAGTGTTTTTTCTGATTTTTTTGTATAAGGAGAAAACAAATGGCTCTTCTCTACCTGATTTACATAGTACAATGAATACCTTTCCTACTCCCTTCTTTTGGGGAGGCCCCAGACATGAATCAAACATAAGTCAAATCTTTCCCAGAGCTGCAGAGAGTAGGCATAAAAGCCCAGAAAGTTTGAGAAACAGTCTTGTTCCTTCTTTGGCCAGGTTCCCCCAGGACTGAACCTGGTCCACCAGAGCAGAGAGGGGCCTCTGAGTGGAGAGGGAGAAGGTGAGTTTCCCCAGGACCTCAGACTAGGAATGTTTTTTCTTGTTACACTTAAGTGAAATCATGTGTATAAAATGCCTTGTAATCATAAAGCGCTGAATAGATGTGAGCTATTACCATTTTATTTTAAAATACCATCTCTTTTTTAAGGAAAAAAATAGGATCTTTATTTTTTTCATCATCAAAGCTTTTCACCAAGTAGCTATCTACATATGGCACTGTGAATGGATAAATTATTGGTATCAAGTGTGTTATTCTTAGCCTAGACTTTTAATTTCATTAGTATAGGAAAGCCTGAGTGAGGAAATGTTCTCTCTCAATTACCCTCCAATTTATAGTCTTAGAGAGTTGGGAGCCTGAGAAGTTAAATGATTTGCCCAGGGTCATACATTCGGTGTGTGTCAAATGTGGAATTTTAACCGAAAATTTTCTGCTCTGAGGTCAGCTCTTTAGTAACTATTTCTAGTTAGTTACCTCTTATATATTACTCACTCAGTATGAAATTTTTCCTGTTTGATGATTTTCTACACAATTAAATTAGGCAATAAAAACATATCCCAAGTATAAGCCAAACCTGAAAACATCATCGAAGGGAAGACAAAATTTAAAAAAAAGAAAAACGTGATTCACCTTCATGAAGCAAAAAGCTAGTCTGATGTTTCCCAACAGGATGAAGAAATCCACAAAGGCTCTTTCTGCCCTCTGGTGGTCACTAAGACAACCAAAGAAGAAAAAAAAAAGCAGGGCAGTCACAAGATACATCATTCTGTGCTTATCATCATCTCACCCTTCTGGTCAATGAACATAATGATAAATTCCTCTTCCTGCCTCTCCCTTAAACAAATTAACTCACTTTCTACTTGAGGCTGAGAGGTCTTGAATTCATCAGATGATCTGAAAAGTTCCTCCCAGTTCCACATTTTATGATACTGAGGCCCCATGTCTCCAGAGTATCTAATTGTGATCTGGTTTTCCTGCTCTAAAAAGCAGGGCCTATTAGTTATACCCCAATATTGTTTCAATTTACTACTTTTTGATAGGGTGACTACGCCCAGCAATATATTTCTAGAAGTAGTCAGCAAGCAGTTCTGACTTTATTTTCAAGAAATAGCACACTAGAGGGCAGCTAGGTGGTGCAGTGGATAGAGCACCAGCCCTGGAGTCAGGAGACCTGAGTTCAAATCTGGCCTCAGACACCTCATACTTACTACCTGTGTGACTCTGGGCAAGTCACTAAACCCCATTGCCTAACCAAAAAAAAAAAAAAAAGAAATAGCACACTAGAATCAAAGTACATTTTGAATACATAGCCATTTGCTAGATGGATTTATTTTTTTACCAAGTTGGCAACAGCTATTATAATTTTTGGAAACTTTTTTCTTTTTGCTTTTTGGTGAGGTGATCAGGGTTAAGTGACTTGCCCAGGGTCACAAAACTAGTAAGTATTAACTATCTCAGGCTGGATTTGAACTCAAGTCCTCCTAACTCCAAGACCAGAGCTCTATTCACTGTGACACCTAGCTGCCCCTGGAAACATTTTTAAAGAAAGTATTTACCTTTTCCACAGACACACTTTCTTTCTAAAGTTTCTTCCTAAAATAGTGTCTGAAAATGGTGTATGATATCAAAGGACAGTAAATAGAATAGTAAAACCAACTGGGAAGCTTTTGCCACAGTTTAGAGGTGATACGACCTGACTAGGGTTAGTTGCCATATGAATGGAGAAAAGAGGATGGATATGAAAGATAGTGTAAGAATAGAATTCACTTTCAATTCCCCCACTTACCTAAGTACTTCAGCTGTTCTATGGAAACAATCTTGTGAAAAGCCAACTTTATGACACGATGCCTATTGCAAAATTTTACTTCATATATAAGAGAAACACAGAGGATGGTAGAGAAATACCAAAGTGGTTGGAGGCAACATCAGAGTGGCTCAGTTAAATTTTAACAGGGTAAGGTAACATGCTGAAGAAAGCAATCAGTGGCTCCCTTCCTAGACAGCCTGTGGTTTCACTTAATTTGCTCCAAAGATTTCATGAAAACTCAGGATGTATTTAATTTCACCTAAAAGAAAAAAATAATGTATTATGACTTCAGGACTGTGCTATAGGACAATTATTAATACACATTCTGCTACGAGATGTCAACTACTTTCTTTTAAAGTATTGTCCTTCCAATGAAATTCTTAAGTTCTATGGGTTTGAAAGCAGGTTCAAGGTTAAGGTCTTGAATAGCAGTTATCATTATCACTCTCTTACTTCCATACTCTCAAAATTCGAGGAGTGGTAATAAATTATTTAATTCAATATTTCTTAAATACTGATTACATAAAAGTAACCATGCTATGGTGCTGGGGGCATAAAGGCAAAAACGAAACAGACCCTAGCCTCATGGGGTTTACATTATGTGAGAAGGAATGCAACATGTGCAAAGATACAAGATAAATGAGCCATGAAAAAAAGCACTAACAATGGAGGTGGGAGGGTGTGAAGGGAGAGGGAAGAAGCATCCCTTAGCAGGTGACACCTGAGCTTAGCCTGGAATAAAGGTAAGGATTCTGAGGAAGAAGGACATTTCAGACATGGAGGATGGTCTATGCAAAGCTATGGAACAGGAAGGTGATCAAATATTTAGTTTGGGAAAGAGCTAGTAGGTCAATTTAGCTAGACTATAGAACGTATGAAAGGAAATAAGAGAAAATAAGTCTGAGAAATAAAATGAAATATCTGGAAAGGAAGATTAGAAGCAGATTAAAGAAGGGTTTAAAGGCCAAGCTGAGTTTGGCCTTTATATCCTAGAGATAATAGAGGGACTACTAATTTGGTAGCTGTATAGAACATGGTTTGGAGAGGGGAGAGACTGAATGCAATAAAAACAATTAGGAAGCCATTGTCATTATTCAGGTGAAATATGATGAGGGCCTGAATAAGGAGTACAGGCCATATGAGTGAAGAGGAGATAATTGAGAGATGTTGTGAGGATTGAAGTTATAAGAGCTGGCAACTGATTTGATATGGTGGGTGAGGGGAAGAAAATTATCACGGATTACACAGACATTGCAAACCTTCAACCAGAAATGAGGAAGATGGAGTTGTGGGTTTATGGAAGAAGATGAGTTTAGTTTTGTCCATGTTAAGTTACACCTACACATCAGGTGGACATGACCAGCAGGCAGTCAGAAACGTGTGATTGGAGTTAAAAGAAAAGGATTAGTTAATAGAGCTGGATATACAGATTTAAGAGTCACTAGAACAGAGATGATTACTGAACCCTCCTTGAACCCAGGGTGTTAATGAGCTCACAAGAGAGGATTTAAAGAGAAGAATGACCTGGACACCCATGGGGGCTGAGGCAGGGAGGACATGGATAATAATTCAGCAAAATCAACTAAGAAAGTGAGGTAGGACAGGTAGGACAACCATCAGAGAAGTACATCACAGAAGCCCAGGGAGTAGAGAAAACCAGGAGGGAGTGGTTAATCATGACAACAACAATGAAGATAAGAAAATGCTATCAGAATTACTGACAATAAAATTATTAGTAACCTTAGAGAAGGTAGTTTCAGTTGAGTGATGAGGTCAGAAGCTAGACCAGAAAGGGATCGAGAAGCAAGTGGGAGGTGATGAAATGGGAGTGGAAATGAGCATAGATGAGTTTCCACAGCTATATAAAGTAAATGAGAAAGATAGATAATGATAGGTTGAATGGCAAGATCAAGTGAAGATTCTTTAATAAAAATAGAAGTCTTGATCATGTTTCAAGCATTAAGGAAGGGGTCTTGGGATATGAAGAAGACCGTTGTAGGGGAGACAAATGAGCCACAGGGTAAGCTGCCACAGGTGACAGGAAGGGTTCAGATCAAGGAGTGGCTTTGGCAAGGAAAAGGGGCAATTCTATGTCAGGAATTGGAGCAAAGGAGGAAAGAATTCTAAATGATCTAGGAAGGTTCTAAGGTATTGATTAGGGGAAAAGAGGGAAGACTTGTGGTATGACCTCCGTTTGAGCAGCCTACATTGTTAAAGCGGGTGCACTAGGTAGGTAGTATAGGAAATCTGAGGAAAGAAAGTTTGGAATACTTTCTTCAAGGAATATAATAAAATTACAGAATCAAACCTCTGAAGTTGGAAGGGACCTTGGAGTTATCAAGTCTAATTTCCTTATTTTACACATAACCCTGCCATTAGAATCTAAAACTTGTCAATATCACCATGGAGATGCTTTCCAAAAATTCCACCAGCCACTGACATTGTGAAACTGAGGGTAACAGGGATTGCTTGTTAAGGAATTCAGGGAAGAAGAGGAGAGAAAGTAGAGTCAAGGTCAAAAATCGGGATCATCCTCCATCTTGATGTCATGTAGACCTTGAAGAGCCAAGCATTTGAGCTATTCGCCTCTCTACCCCCCACCTCCCCTACCTCTGACCAAGAAAGACTGACAGCAGGTGGTATGGCAGGTAAGTCTTTGACTTACTAAGAGCCAGTTGCAAATTGAATGACAACCTCCATCTTTCTCTCTTTGTCTAAAAGTTGGGAAGGACATCCCCTCCCTTACACACTTTTAACTGAATTATCCATCCAAAATTACTTTGCTGTCCTCCACATAAGAGGGAAAGGTATTGAGCAGGGGTTAAGAGAAAGGGAATTCAGGAATATAACTGATAAATGAGTCAATAAAAGACTTGTCTCTCAGAAAACATCTTGTTTACTAATCTAGGTGGAAATTTTATTCTTGTCTGGTTTCTGATATTTCCCTGCTTATTACTTCTCCTACTTATCACCTTGAGCTGGCTTTATGACTCCTACCTTAGGAGCAATACAACCATTACTATGGCTTCTCCACTCTATTCCCTCACTCTAGGTGCTGGATGAGCAGTGTGTATTTTGTGTGCATTTAAAACTGTACAGTTTCCCAACCTTTATTACCATGACTGACAGCAAACATAACACAAGGGTTAGTGGCTGTAAATTTTTTTTTAATAGAAGAGAAATAGACAATACAATAACAAGAGGTGGAGGACAAAAGAGCTAACCAGTACAGGTAATTGGAAATAACAGGAGCCAATGCAAATGCTTCTACTTTTAGTAGCAGGAATGATTCTCCCAATTCACTCTTTCTCCCTGGTAGGGAGGAGGGCAAAGTGATGTTGAAGAAATAGCTCAGTTAAAGGGGTAGCATCCTTCTCAACTCTGAGGCAAGGAAAGACAAAATCATTCCCAATCACAACTTGGTCTGCAACCAGCTTCAAATAAGGCAAGATCCCCCACCAGTTTTTCCAGAGGCAGTTCAAAATAGCAGCCATTAGTCTCATTAGGGAGGAGCAAAGGAGCTTTGCAATATCTACCTGGTGTCAAGATGGTGGGCAATTCCAACTTTCCACTTCTTCATCCTGCTTTCTCTCTCCTTCTTCCCTGGATTCCTTCTAAACAATTCCAAATATTCCCAATTAAGTGATATTAGTGATTGGTGGAATCTCTGGAAAGCATCTCGACTTCCATGGTGATCCTGATGCATACAGTTGAAGAAACTGAGACCCAGGAAAGGTAAGTGATCAGCCCATGGTCACACAGGTAATGAGTATCAGAACCAGGATTTGAACCCAGGTCCTTTTACTAGAAAGACAATGATTTTTCCATTGTATCAACCAAGTTTCTGTAAAGAACAGGAAATGAAAATATCTGGGATGAAAGGAAGTTTATCCCACTTCTGCAGATTTTTTAACTAAAAGAAACACTGTACTTTAACGAAAAGCTTTTTAAAAATTTAAACATTATGGAGAGAAAAATTTCTAAACAGTATGACAAACTTCTCTGTCTTCTTGAGAAGATTTTGAATGTATTTTAATCTCATTTTTAATGATGCCATTATTATGAATATTTATTATTTCAACAGCAATTTATTAAATACCTCCTATGTATAATTCTTTGGGAAAGACATAGCCCTATCTACTTCGAGCTCACAGTCTAGCCTCAATTTTTGTGTGGTATTATGACACATGACATTCTCAGGGCACAGTAAAACCTCCCTCATTTTGCAGATTAAGAAACTGAGGTCAAGAACTTCACATAGATTAGGAGTGGCAAATAGATAGTGTATCAAGGACAGGATTTGGACTCAGGACCTCTAATTTGAGAGCCAATGCTCTTTCCACTGTCTTCAGTGGTCCTAAGGCAGTCACTATGCTTTGTAAAACTTGGGACAGGGTCAAAAGAAAGAACAGAATAAATGGGGGGAGGGGGCAGGATAGGATTAAGGGAAATAGAGTTAGTTTTTCACAACATGTCTACTATGGAAGTGTTTTGCATAACTGCACATGTATAACCTATATTGAGTTGCTTGCCTTTTCAGTGAGGGTGGATGGGGAGGGAGGAAGGGAGAAAATTTGGAACCCCAAAGTTTTAAAAACATGTTTAAAAAAAATGTTTTCACATGCAACTGGGAAATAAGAAATACAGGAAATGGGGTACAGAAGTCTATCCTGCCCTACAGGAAAACAGAAGGGGCAGGGGATAAGAGAAGGGGGGGAGAGATAGAAGAGAGGGCAGACTAGAGGAAGGGGTATTCAGAATGCATGCCATCTTGGGATGGGGGGAGGGATGAGATGGGAAGAAAATGTGGAACTCAAAATCTTGTGGAAGTAAATGTTGAAAACTAAAAATAAATAAATTTATATTAAAAAAATATTCTGGTTCCTCTTCCAAAAAAAAATTTTTTTTAAATTGTGTCTCCTTTTAATTTGGTCTACCCCCTTTTTGTCAGCATTTTTTGCCTCTAGTAGCCTCCTGGCCCCCTTTCAATTTGCCAGTCCTGATATGACATAGGCTGGGAATGTGAACAACCACATGGCTCTAAGAGTCAATCAGGCTCCAAATGAGTGCCCACAGCATTCTCTTTTGGAATAAGTTGCATAATTTTATAATATATGGACTTCAGGGGCATCCATTTTAGCAACACCAATGCTAATTTTAAAATTTACATCCTGGTTCTAGGATGTCAGATAAAATAAGGCTGACCATATTTGGGGTATCTTAATAGTACAAACGAAAAACAGTTCCTGTATCACTGACAGAAAGCCCTAGACCATAGCTCTAGAGCTAAAAAGGACTTGAGAAGCTGTCTAATCCAACTCCTTTATTGCATAGCTGAGGAAATAGTGGCCTGAGTACTTTAAGAAACCTGTGGAAGGTCACATAGGAAAAGGCAGAGATGGAATTTGAATCCAGCTCCTCCGACAGAGCCACTACTCTTTCCATTCCATGATGCATTTTTTTTCTGTATACTTTCTTCCTCAATATTTTTCTTGATAAAAGTATCTTTTTAGTACATAGAGCTCTGGCCTTGGAGTCAGGAGGACCTGAGTTCAAATATGGCCTCAGACACTTGAAACTTACTAGCTGTGTGACCCTGGGCAAGTCACTTAAACCCGACTGCCTCACCAAAAAAACAAAAAAAAGTATCTTTTAAAACTTCATTTGTAGATAGACTTTGCAACAAACTACATATTGGATATCAGAAATGTGCACAAAGCACAGTGATTTAAGAAAGGGATTCACAATAAAAGATTTTAAAAGTAGATTTAGCTGTGTATAGAGAACTCCAAAATGCTGCATCTAAAAAGGGACTTAACAATAATCTATTCCAACATCCTAATTTTGTTGTTGTTCAGTCGTGTCTGACTCTTCATGACCACATTTGGGGTTTTCTTGGCAAACATACTGGGGTGGTTTGCCAATTCCTTTTCCAGCTCATTTTACAGATGAGAAATCTGAGGCAAACAGGGTTAAGTGACTTGCCCAGGGTCACACAGCTATTACATGTATGAGACCACATTTGAACTCAGAAGATGGGCCTTCCTTACTCTAGGCTGGGCACTCTATTGTGCCACTTGCTGCCCTAATTTACAAATGGGTAAATTCAGGAACAGAGAAAAGTGACTGAGGAGGTCTCAGAGTGGTAGAAGTGTGACTCGGGCTATATCTTGGAAATTAATTTAAGACATATATTTTAAGAACTTTGCCATGTTTTATGAAGGGAAGTCACACAGTTGTTTATTTAACTTGACCTGATAACAATTACCACCCTTTAGATGGTAAACCATGAAATGAATATTTTATCCATCACTGAAATGAAAATTAAGAGGGAGAGCTTTTTCTAGATTAGGCTGAGCACTTTGCTTAACCTCTTAAAAGGTCTCTTTAACTCAAATTTATGTGTAATTTATCTCATCAAAAATTTATATGTGCTTTGTAGACAATACTTACCAACTCCCTACTCCATTGGGATGATTTGAAGCTACGTAAAATAACACGGTATGCCACCTGCGTTGTTGAAGATACAAAGCTTTGAATAAACTTATAAGGTAATTAAATCATACTTCCAGATATTATTGTATGTGATTGAGAATTACTTAAAATGTCTTTTAGACAAAAGTTAAAATTTCTGTGTATATATATATATATATATATATATACACAAATACATATATGTGTCTATAAATGTGCATATATACACACACACATGCATTTACTTTTAATTTGGATATAGCACAACATAAAGAGATCTGCTGAAATGTTTTCTGGGTTCACTTAGGAAAATGATTGGAATGGTAATGATTAAATTATGATATGCAATCTATAAGTATTTGGTTTTAGAAAAGAGGCAGAAAACTAGGGAAAGAAAAATTAAGGCTTTGGAAATATTAGTTTTGATACTTATAATCTCTCAGTGGATAACATTTATAGAGCTTATTTCCTACTTATTATTAACTAATTTTCCACATCTTAAAGTTAGTTTCCACAAAATTAAAGCACAGTATTTCATTCATAGATATTTCTATTACATGTTACATTTTGACGTAGCAACCTTCAAAGATTTTTTATTGAACTAATTCCCACCAATTTTTCAGTGCCTAGTTTGTCAGTATCCCAAGATTAAACAAAAGCAAATACTGCTGGGTTTTAAGGACAAAGAAATGTAACTAAAATCAATGGTTATGTCTTACTTTAACCAGTCAAGAATTTCTTAAATTTCTAAATGTAAATTTATCTTCTACAAAAGCTTTTGTTTACTTAATTGGGCAGAATCACATACTAAATTATAAATTTCAACATTTTATTTCTGATTTATTTTCTACTCTTCTGCACAAATTTTCCTTGGAAAACAGGGATTATTTCTTATTATATATGTTTTTGAAGAGTCTTTTAAAATCTTGGACTACTGCTAATTCAGGATTCATGAAAATATTAAAAGTACATAAAAAGGAAATTTTTCCACTTGGTCAAAACACATTTGTTTTAACTAAAGAAAAAATTAGAAAAATGGGGGGAAATACCACAAATAAGAGAAAGGTCAAAATGGCAGAAATTTTCTAGAAAAATATCTTAATTATGCATTCATTTGTTCAATTGCTTCTAAACACAATTAAAAAGGCATCACATCAGTAAACCATTTAGTTCAATGTGTTGATGAATGAAATTATAAACTTATCCCAGGATACTGACACTCAGAAGTGCTATTCTCAAATGCATAATAATTGATAATATGTATACTTGTACCTTTATAGTCACTCAAATAACTATAAAACCTAATGAAAATAACATACTATGAAAAATCATGCTAAAAATAAAGAAGTGAATTTATGCTTTCTTCTAATACACTTCCGTCATTCTTTTCCATGAAGAAACTCAAATAAAGTTAAAGAATATTGAACAATTAAGTTTTGAATTGGTTTATCAGGTTATGTGGTTTCTATCAAAATGAAGATAGAGTTAAATCTTCATTTTCTTCAGTCCATAAAGTAACTTGCATCAGCAACAGCTGGCTTTACAAGTTGTTGTCTGGTTATGTAACAAATTATTTTAGACTATGCCGAACAGGCACATAGGACTTTTCACATATGACTACACTAAGCGACTCTGAATTTAAAAACCTGAAACGTTATTTTTTTTTCCTGTTTCATGATCAAAAAGCTCCATTAACCAAAAGATGCTATTCATTCTCCTCGAATACTGAATTACCAAAGTGTGATGAATTGGCCTTCATGAACTATTCATGAGTTCTCATTTAATGATAATTAAATTTTGTTTTAAAAAACAAAGCCTATGCTAAATGATTTTAAAGCCCTGGCACAGACTGGAATACCATGAAAAATTAAAAGTTCAGGGGAAAATTCAATCCAAAATCACACTGTGGCCAAATTATGCAAGTTGGACATCTACTATTTAATCTTTCCATTGTATCCATAGTCTATTTGTGGCACTAGCAACACTTAGAAATGCTTTTATTTGCTGAATTTCTTGATCAAACTTCATTGATGAAAAATATTTTTATTATGCATCAGCAGCATTCTGCTTTAGGTTACTCTGTTCCTTACAAAGTAAAGGTGTCTACAAACCATGAATTAATTTTTAAAATATCCAATCAAATTAAAAGTTGTGTGCTTGTGTATGTATGTGTGTGAAAGCAGTATATTTTAAACATCACAAACGTCAAATAGCTTTAAGACTCCTCCTGTCATATTAGTTTTCTTATGTATCTCTTATTAGTGATTTCTCTTACATCTTATAAATTTGGGAGAGTGATAAGATAAATTACACATAAGTCTGAGTTAAAGAAATTCAGAAACAAAGTTCAAGATCTCAAAAATTTTGAAAATTATTTTCTATTTGAAATAAAGTTGCTTCCTGCTCAGCTCTCTAATAGGTTTGTTCTGTAGATTAACTAGGCTATGAGGATATTAAATTGGATATTTCATATAGAATATTTCAAAATGAATACCCTAAGTAAGTATTTTACCAGGATAATAATTTCAATAGACCAAGAACTTCAGTCAAATTAACAGCACAGCTGTGTCTCATTTCATGTATTAACATCATTAAGAAGTTAGCTTTATTTTTGTTTTCAAAATTACATTTTTTTCCTATACCTTCCACTGTTTAATTGGCCCCCACCACACCCACAAATCCTTAGCATATCTATGCATACTCAAGCGAAACAATTGTTCAATCTGGCCATGCCTAAAAACGGATGTCTCTTTTTTGCATTTTAAGTTCATTACCTCTCTGGCCAGACATGAGCTGTATACGTCATCTTTAGTCCTCTGGACTCATGTTTTTCCATTGCATCAGAGTTCTAAATTCTTTCAGTTATTTTTCTTTACAACATTGTCATTGCCATATAACATGTTCTCTTATTTCTGCTCATTTTGTTCTTCATCACTTCATTGGAATTATCACATTCATTCATTCATTATCACATCATATCACTTCATTTATCACCCATTTCTTAAGGTACAGCAATATTCCATTATATTTGTACGCCTTGGTATTTTTAGACATTCTCCAGTTGGGAAGGGTCTATTAGTTTCCAATTTGGGCCTATTATGAAAAAAAGCTGCTATATTTTTGCACAAGTATCCTTTTATTCTTCGATCTCTTTGGGGGCATCTCTTTGACTCAACTACATCACTAGACCCAGTTGTGGTATAGCTTGGTCAAACATTTGTACAGCTTAATAATTTTGGAGGGCATATTCCAAATTGCTTTCCAAAGTAATCGGTCCAATTGACAGTTCCTCAATCAGTGCACTGGGTGTGTGTGTGTGTGTGTGTGCGCGTGTGCATGTGCGTGTGTGTGTGTGTGTGTGTGTGTGTGTTAATGGTCCCTCTAATACCTGAAATTTTCCTTTTATGCCATCTCTGCCAGTATGATGGGTATAAGTGTTTGCATTTCTCCTTTTCTTTTCTTTTTGGTGAGGCAATTGGGGTTAGGTGACTTGCCCAGAGTCACACAGCTAGTAAGTGTTATGTGTCTGAGGCCACATTTGAACTCAGGTCCTCCTGACCCCAGGGCTGGTGCTCTATCCACTGTGCCACCTAGCTGCCCTATTTTCCAGTTTTCCCTGCAATTTTTGTCACATCAATTCTTCCCCTTTTGGGCTTATTGAATACTATGCTGTTTGTTTTGCTTCTATGTGTTATGTACCTACTAAGTTTCACTTAGCAACCTCTCTCTTTTTTTAACTGGTAACAAATAATTTTGATGATTATGGCTTTGTAGTACAGTTTGAGATATAGTACTGAATCTCTTCCTTCCCATTTTCTCCATCATTACCTTTGAGATTCTTGGCCTTTTGTTCCTCCATATGAATTCATTATTTTTTCTAGTTCCATACAATATTCCTTTGGTAGTTTGGTATAGCAATGAATAAACAAATTAATTTAAGTAGTACTGTCATTTTTTTTATATTGGCTCAATGTACCAATGAGCAATTAGTGTTTCTTCAATTACTTAGGTCTGTCTGTATTTCTGCAAATGTTATTTTATAGGTGGATTCATATAGTTCCTAGGTATATCTTGATAGATACACTCCCAAGTATTTGTAGCTCCTACAGTTATTCTGAAAGGAATTTCTCTTTGTAGTTCTTCCTGTTGGATTTTTGTTGGCAATATATAGGAATGCTGTTTATGTGTATTTATTTTATATCCTGTGACTTTGCCAAATTTATTATTTCAATTAATTTTTTGTTTATTCTTTAGGATTTTCTAAATACGGTTTTCCTGTAATCCATAAAACATTATAATTTTGTTTTCTCTCTGCCTATGCTGGTTCCCTCAAATTCTTTCTTCTCTTGTTGCTACAAGTAGCACTTCTAGCACAATGTTAAATAGTAATGTGATAATGGACATTACAAGCTGCTACTATTAACATTTATTAATATTACAACTTTTGGTGAATGACTAAACAAATTATGGCAAATGCATGTAATGGAATATTACTGTGCTAGGAAATTACAAATAAGAAGAATTCTGAGAAACAAAGGATGACTTAAACAAATTAATGTAGAGTGAAACAACCAGAACTAGAAAAACTGTGTATATGTATATAAATAAAAGTATACATATATATACATGCATATATATATTTAATTCAAATATATATTCAAATATATTATATATAATTTATGAATAAAATAATGCAAATAAAAATAATAAAATGAAATTGACTGTTGTCAATCAAACTTGACTTTGGAAACAGAGTTGAGAACATGTGCCTTTCTTCTATCATTGCAGAGGTGGGAGCGAGTGTGGGTATGGAATATTGCATATACTATCACGTACATTGTTTGGTTTTGCACTTTTAAAATCTTATGTAAAGGATGCTCACTGGACAGGGAGAAGGGAAGGAATATATTTTAAAATGAATGTGAGATAACTGAAAAGGGTATGGACACTTTTTTTTTTAAAGTAATGAGCATTGCGGGTGGAGGAAGTAGGTACCTAGACATACCTATTCCTGGGGTCTAATGAAGGGCAGATAGTGAAAAAGGAGAACAAAAGTTTGGAAAGT